CGTTCCAAAATAGGTCACCTGTTGAGACACTGATCTCGAACTCGTCCCCCGTAGTTATCGTTATTGCTAAATGAGCCGGTGTCACTGACATCGAATGCCGCATTGTTTGACTGTCGTACTTCCATTGTGCTTAGTTGTATGTGTACTCTTTGGACGGGTTAACAATCAGCGATGTCTTAGGTAGGCTTCTCTGTACACCCGTGTTCTGTGTGTGGAAATCGGACTGGCAATTAACAACATGTTTGGAATACTGGTACTTGTAATACTTTGTGTATACACACGTGCAATGCGTGGGTAGTTGGCGAGTGCTCTGGTGCTCCTTCTTACCTATCAAGCAGCTATCGTACTAATCAATCCTTCTTTTTTGTGTTTGTTACTCTCTCGCAACACCTCTAATCTTCGGCACTTATATTACCTTTTTATTGTGTTACAAGTGCCGTAATACTCTTACGAAAACTAAAACATGCTTAATGCTCTGAAATGTAGATGATCATCTTCCAGTTTCGATAACTTTTTACTGTCAATACTTAAACTACTCGACTAGGGTGAGTTCAGGACAATGGCCTAAGAATAGATCATTCATCCGGCAGAACATTTAATTTCTTACCTTATTACCTTAGGAGCACACGTATAGTTGTGACGTCACAGATGAGTTGGTGTTGTTGTTTGTTTGTTTGTTGTTGTTGTTTGTTTGTTTTTTTTGGGGGGCGGAGTTGTTGGTTTTGTGTGGGTTTTTTTTTTTTTGGGGGGGGGTTGTTTGTTTTGCTTTTGTTGTTGTTGGTTTTTTGGTTTGTTTTTTGTTGTTTTGTTTGGGGTGGGGGAGGGGGGGGAATTCCATTGTGTCTGTGCTCCTATAATATTGTTTAAATCTTGAAGTCCCCACGGTGTGAATGTGTACCCGGTGGTGGACAACAAAAGATCTTGTCAGTTTGTTAGCGTTTGAGCGCTTAATGGGCTGCTTTAATAGTGCTTCCGGGGAAGCTGAGAATGTCTCTGGATGTTCTAGGGTCTGCTGGGGGTAAAAATATAGATTTAAATCGCATAGAGTTTGCTGCAGAGCATGAATGGGCCCCATGTGATGCATACCAATCATCGTCATCATCATCATCATCATCATCATCATCATCATCCTCATCATTGTATGATGATGATGATGATGATGATGATGATGATGATGATGATGATGATGATGATGATGATGAATATTATTATTATTATTATTGTCATTATCATTATATTCAGTTTGGTTTTGTTTTTATTTTTCGCTTTCAGTTAGGTCAAAGCAGAGATATGTCCGCCCTGTTGATGTCAATTATCGGATTGTCCGATCTTGTGGGCAGACTTTTCTTTGGTTGGTTTTCCAACATGGACATCATCCCCCGTCATTATGGGTAAGGCAACTTTGGATGGTTTTTCGACATGTTGTCGTCCCTCGGTATTATGGGTAAGAGGAAACTTTTAACTCATTAACGACGCGAATTTTCGGTCATTCGACAACTGCACACGGGATCTCCGAGATTTTTTGCCCTTATCTGAGAGGGCTAGCAGGTGTTAGATCTTACTTACCCTAAGCAAGATCATGGGTTTTTCTGAAAGAAGGAGCCAGGAATAGCGGTAAAAAAGAGTCAGGAGCCGCGCAGAAGGGGGGGGGGGTGAAGGGAGACAACAAGTGGAGATGAAAGCGAAATGACATGATTAACTAGCAGGAAAGAAGGTGAACGGAGAAAGTGTAAAGAGAAAACCATTTTCCGTCGTTGTCAGATTTCAGACCCGGAACCTATTGAATTACATCCCCCTTTCGATTTTTGTTTTCATTACCTGAAATTTAAAAAGGCATGTATCGACATGCAAACTATGAAATGACGTGCAAACTCGTATTTGTTATATATGTGTATGATGGCTCGAAGTGTGGCGAAACATTGCTTTTAGTCTGTTGCTTATAGGGAGTATATATGTCCGCTACGTCTTTAAATAGTTAATAATGGTTAATATGGTTTAGGTTTAACGCCCCTATCACACATTGTTGGGTTATTTAAGAGGCGGGACCTCCCATTTTAATGTCCATTTCGAAAGGACACAACGTCGGACGTAATTATAGAGTCAAATAGTGTGCACCAAGGTCAAGCGGAATTATTACGTTAGAATGCTTAGTCTTGGATATTATAATAACAAGTCTATGGATAGTGGTTGGAGGATGTCAGTGGTACGTCCTTCTTCTTTTCTTTTCTCCCCTTTGTTGTTTCTGTCTGCCCATCTTGCTCTTTTTCTCAGCATCGAAGTGCCGTTATTTTGTTGACGTAGTTCTCTTAACTATATGCTTCCCGGAGAGCTGAGAATTTTTCTGGGTGTTCTCGATCTGATGGGGTAATAATATTATACAATGTAATAGATTGTAACGCTCTTAGGACTTGCTGTAGGAAAGGAATAATTAATATGCGTTACACAAAATAATGTTATTTATTTCTTCTTCTTCTTCTTCTTCTTCTTCTTCTTCTTTTTCTTCTCCTCCTCCTCCTCCTCCTCCT